GTCGGTCTCTCTGTAAAACATACTGTGCTATATCTGGACAGGACTTTGCTGTGTGTTTCTGTGAGGCCTTTAACGGCTAAATCATCACGGTGAAGGCTTTTATTTTTTTTTTTGACTCATCCTGTGACATGAATTCAGCCCACCTCTCTCTTCTAACTGCCCCTTGAAGTCTACACATATATATATGTGTGTGTGGTTGATGGCATGATGTGATGAATGAATGTCTTTTTCTTTATGTTACACAGTGTTTGGGGTTTGATGTGACTGAATGGTTTAACTTAATGCCAAATGACTGAACTATCACCGCTCTCTCACCTCTACTTGGGCTGTGTTTATTCTCAAGCGTAGCTGTGTGTCAGCATCTCAGCTTTCTTTGTCAGCGTCCTGTTCTCGGTTGCTGCGGTTATTTTGCGTCTGGACGGGACGCCGTTGAATCAAAAGCGGCATTCACTTCAAGGGTTTGGGATGTTCCAGCTGCTTGACTGCAGGAGGCGGCATTTATGAAGAATTGCGATCGGGGAGAAGTTTTCCTGTGATTTTTCCGATCGGCGTGCACAGATCCAAACTCACGGTGCAAATAGAGCAGGTTCAGATTCAGCTGTTTTCCAATCGGGCAGTCGGCACTATGCAAGTACGGGCGATACATCCTCACAGACCAACTATACTTAGCTGTTTGTACTATGATAGTAGCAACTGTGTGAACAGTATACTCTGGTTTTTGTATCGTAGATCTTCCAGAACACCATCTACTGTATGTTTGTGATTCATTTTGCCTTTATTTTTTTCTGGAGCTTCCCCCGCCCTGCTCCCTCCGGCTCCAGAGGGAAGTCCAGATCAGTGTTCTATCAGGGCACTTTCGCCCTAAATCTGCAAGATGCAACCCTTGCTGGGCGTAGATGAAGCTTAACAGGACTACAGATGGAGACCAGTCAACAGAATGGGAGACCTGAATGACCCAACTGCACTTTGAACTCAACCCCCACCCCACCGCAATCCACCTCCTTCTCTGTATTTCTTTTTGTATTTTTATTTGTTACATCCCTCGTTGCTTTCTTTTAACGTTGCATGTTCTTGTCTGTCACATGTATTTAAAAAAAAGAAGATGCTTTAAGAAGAAAGAAAAATAATGAACCACTCGAGTTTTATTTCTTCAGTACAACCTTGGAAACTGTAAGGGTGTTTTTTGTGCCAGTACCCTAAAATAATCCCGTCTTGTTTGGTTAGTTATTTTTTTATTTTTATGAATGTTTTGTCCCCGGAGCTTCCTGTGTGTGTTTCGCGAAGAATCTTTCTTCTTCTAAAGCCTTACTCCCCCTTCCCCGACTGGCGTTCAGGTTTCCATGGTGGCTGACTGACCTCTCTTCCTTGTCGTATCAAGGCTCGCCTTCTTTTTTCTGCTGTTGAGGACGATGATGTACTCGGTGTGTGTATGTGTGCGTGTGCGTGCGTGTGTGTGTGTTATATTGTCTCCAGGCCTGGAACTAATACCATTTAAAAGCCTATTAAAAACCTTGATGTGGGATTGATTTATGTTTGCTAGCACAATAGCTCCCCCGTTCATCCTGAAACCCAAAAGGCAATCCAGGCAGGCAGAAGCAATCATGAAAGTCTTTGATGGGATTTTGAATGCTATTTGCTCCCAGATCTGTGTTGTATATTGTATATGATACACACTTTTGGACTCATATGTAAATTTGCATTAATTGCTGACTAACAGCGAAAGAATATTCTATTTAATTCCTTCTCTCTTGGCTGTGGGATCCTAGATGTTTAACTGCATGGATGTACTGTATCTCTGCAGAGTCAACTAGCAGCTGTGTGATTTTTACACAAAAATAAAAACGGCACAATATTTTAAATGTGTGCTCCTTTACTGACTTCTTTATTGTTTGTTAAAAGGCCTTGAAAACAGGTTTTCGTACTTCCTTTAATAAGCGATGAAGTCCATCATGAACACAAGGACGTAGGTTTTAACAGTGGGATGGGAAGAAGGGGTTTGTGAATCCTCTTTATGTGCATCAAACACTTAATTTCCTGCATTCTGGTGGATGTTTCCGCAGCAGTTTGTGCCTTTTATGCATCCGTTTATGGTATAAGTGCCTTTAATTTTGACAAAACAAGTCGTCTGCTACCTAAATGTTTTTATTGTAGGGGATATGTCCCCTGCGTCCACCCTGAAATCTACACCTACACATGAACTCCATCTTGTGCGAAAGTCAGAACAATTTTTTAGATGTTTTACACAAGAGATTTCTTTGTGTGCTGTTCTGTCCCACTTATTTAAAGTGGACTGAATTATGTTGGAAAAAAGCAATATTTAATCAACAGTCATGATGAGGCAGATATGCTGAGGTTTTTTGCCTAGTTAGTCATTCATATTTAATGTAATGTAGAGATACTTAAAGGTAGGAGAAATAGCCAGACACTGGTTCTTTTTCAAGAAAATTCCAAAACATATTCTTGGTTTTTCTCCATGATATTTTACGAGCCTTTGGGGCTAAAAGAATTTTTTTTCAATACGTTAGTTTTGTTGGTGTGAAATATTTTAATATCTCCATTGTTTCTGTAACTGCTTATCCTGTAAGAGGTCGTGGGGGGGCTGGAGCCTATCCCAGCTGACACTTGGTGAGAGGTGGGGTACACCCTGGACAGGTCACCAGACTATCACAGGGCTGACACATAGAGACAGACAACCATTCACACCTATGGCCAATTTAGAGTCACCAATTAACCTGCATGTGTTTGGACTGTGGGAGGAAGCTGGAGTACCCTGAGAAAACCCACGCTGACACGGGGATAACATGTAAACGCGTCACAAAAGGGCTCCCCCACCCTGGGGACAGTGCTAACCACTGCACCACCGTGCTGCCTTTAATATCGCCAATAGAAAGTAATTGCTAAAATAAGAACAATCTGATATGTTTGTGTTATAAAATTACAGATTAATTGTGAAAAAAATTGATTGTGAAATAGCTAAAATTGAAACCAACAGTAGATCAAACCAGATCAAGGAAGAATACACCTTTTTCTCAGATAACATTTTGATATGTCAAAGTAGGAAAAGCACAGTAAATAATGAAGTTAATGATGGCTGAATTCCATTTAGCTGCTTTGAGTTCAGGTTCCTGGTATGTGCATATACATGCTCACTGTCACTCTCACTCAAACAGAGCAGAGCCATCGTTAGTGCTATTAGTCACAAATGTTGTTTTCCTACTATGATGCATCAAAATGTCTGCTGTGAAAAAGGTCTACAGGCATGAAAGGAAAGTGCTAAGAAACTAGCAGCAGCTGCAAATCATTCACTAAAACTTGTCTGATTATTATTAATCGAGTTCTAGAGAAATCTAAAGGAATCAAACAGGATGCACCTGAGCTCAGTCTGCAAAGATTTCAGGTTTTGATAACAAAAAACAAACTTAAAACCATGTTTTTGCCTTGTCATTATGGGTAATTGTGTGTGAATGAAAGTGAAAATAAAATACATCTCATATCACATCTATAATGCACAATAAAGTGTGTAAAAAGTCAAGGGATTTGAACACTTTCCAAGTCAATCCACATTTTGTCTCAGAAGTTATGTTTCGCCTGTTTCTATACTGACACCATCTGAGACCTCCCGAGCTCTCCCAAACTTAAAAGTATTTCTAAGTCACAAAAACTTTGTCAAATGTCTTTTCTTACTAAGATCACCATGGGAAAATTGCAAACTTTTACTTTTAAGAGTCCAAAATTTAAATTTCAGGCACACAGACATATTTTGATTCCACAAAAGGAAAAAAGTCCTCGTTTGACAAAGCAGCTGATATCTCTGAAATGCATAAATCAGCTTATGCCGCGCTTACACCAACTACTTTTCAAGAAATTTCACTGTTGTAGACACATTTTAATGTCATTTTTTAATGTCATACTTGTGTTGTGGAAAAGGAGAAGAAAGTTGTGGAGGGAACAAGAGTTGGTTTTTAATTGAGTGTGTGTCTGATTCACCAACCACAGCTTTTTATAGTGAAAGTCTTACTTTTTAAAATGGTTCATCTTCACATTCCTTTTCTCCCACTAAAATGTCACAGCTAACCAATGGAGGCTGGTATAGCAAGCTGAGGTGACAAAATCTATGAAAAAACAAAATGATATTGATGCCTAATTGACAAGAAGACTGTCGACATGTAACATATTTTATCTTGTGTTTCTAGAGTTATGTGTTATTGCAGACACCTAAGGAATTGTTAATATGTCATATTTCTCAAAGGGAGTTTGGCGTAATATCTTCCATCAGAAGCAGGATAGGAAATAATCTCAAAAGGAATCTAGTTGTCATCTCGCAAATAGTGACCCTGCATGATTCTGTGACTAAAAACTCACTTTGAATCCCACATTCAGACAAGCTGTCCCCAGACAAGCTGCTCACAATAGTCGTTTCTTTGTCTCATCAGAAATAAATCAGCTTCTTCTGATCTGTTTCGCCTACATCAGCAGAGTTCGTGCTGTGCTCAGAGGCTTCTCACAGGTGCCTCAACTCAGAGAACAGATAAAGTACGCAGGGTTAAGACATGAATTTGATCACTAAAATCAATTTCTTTTTTAAGAATTTTTTTGGCAGTTTGTGTTTATTGGACAGGACACATCCAAAGTGGGGGGGGGGAGCCTTTGTACATGGGGCATCTGCTCCAATAGTTGAGCTGATGGGTGCCCCACTAAAACCAGTTTCTGAAACTGTGAAGGTTAATTTATAAGCCAATCAAGTTTTCTTTCATATCGTACCGTTATCTCAAGAGCTGATTACATCAGACAAATAAAGATTTACTGCAGTGGGAGAGCATTTTAAGATCTTAGCTTAGGATCGGGCTGAGACAAGAGGAAGACTATTTCTTAGAAGCTGATTTCTCATATTGATGTTATTCTGAGCTCCGGAATGTTTAGGAGATAAAGGCTGGACAAATTAGAGATCGTATTATAACCTTTGCTTTCCTTTGGATCAACAGAAACACAAAGACACTGAGTGGGTTTGAGCAGGTTTTTATTGGATCTCTAAGTATTGCTTCATGGCTAGGCTGTTGTACAGAGGGGCCCAAAGCAATCCTGAACATAATCAATTCCTATTTCTCAACTTCAATCTCTCCAATCAGTGAGTTTAACACCAGCAAATCAACCACTTCAACCAACTCAGATAAGAGCTATCAGAGATCTGCAGAAGAGTGAATCGGGTCTTTAAAGTCACTGAAACAGCCTCAATTAACTCGCTCTAAACTTTTGTTTTCTACAAATCTTTAAACAAACCAGTTCTTTATTTCATTACACTGTGATGGAGGAAGTATCAGGTTTTATCTTCATGTGTTAAAAAAGCAGGGAAATAATAGTCAGTTACAACCATTCCGGCTTTTAATGGAAACTCAAGCGTAAATCATGTAAGTACAATGGCCCTTGACGTACGGCCGTAAATGTTGAAGGTACTATAGACACATGGAGGCCTGTTATCTACATCTACTGAGTATCTTCTCTCACAGCAGGACAAAGAGCTCTAATGTAACAATATAAATCTCTGAGCTTAAACTGAGTCGTTTGCAAAAGCAGGACTTAAAGAGGATTTACAACAGAATCAGTGTGTTGGCTTCAGGTTGTTTTTTTCCCCCAGGTTTGTTTATCATTGGGGTTTCGTCGGGTGAGTCCAGAACATTCACTTGTCAGCAGACAGAGCAGATGGGGACTTTGGGACTTTATTTGACCACACTGGAAAAACAAAGAGAAGGAGATCAGTGATTGTCAGTGATTATTCTAAATTCTATCATCCTTAGAAAGTTAATTTTCATTACATTCAATCCATCTACTGTTCCCTGTAAACTGAAGACAGAGAGGACAGCAGAGGACCAAAGAGCCCTGACAAGACAAGAGCTGAATATATCTTTGAAACGCTGCTGTTGTTCAGTGTTACAGTTCATTATTGACCTTGGAAACAATAGTTTAACCAAAAAAAGAACTCAAAGTGCAGTGACCTCTGTATCTGTATATATCTGTATCTCTATAGTGACAAAATCATTGTTTTAAGATGATCCGCTGTGGAAGACCACAAGTTGTGAAAAAAGTGATGGGTAAATCTAGTACGTTAACCTTAAATCATAACTTTGAAATCCCTGAAACTATTTCAAAAAAAGTGTCGAGGAAAATCCTGGCAGTTTCTTTATTTTCTTTGTGAGATTTCAGATCCTAAATTCAGGTCAAAGTTAACTAATAATTTACTTAATAAAAGCACAAGGCAAGGAGGAGGACTATAAAGTGGTGCAGGAATGAGTCAGCATTTTAGCACCACCGGTTGGTTCGTCTCAAAGTCAGTAGGTTTTCTTTAACGTGCAATTACATACCTGAAATGAGATCTGCCGTTAACACAAGCTTAAGAGACATTCACGTTTTGTTCTACGACATAAGATATGTCAGTAAACACCCCACATGTGAATTTTGAAGCTTTAAAGTGTCTTAAGAGGCAGTTGCTAACAAGTGGCTAAATGATATTACAGAACATCATAATGCCGAACTGCGCCGAACTCAGTGCTATAACCTTGTTGTGTTGAAGACGTTAAGTCATGCGACCATGGTGGAGTTGTTTTATAACCTAACATTAGTTTTTTTTTTACTTGTGGCGATTGCATTTAGGCATCAAAAATCATAAAAGTGGTGTTTACTTGTCAAGATTATTTTGCTAAACAAAATATGTAAGTATCATAAATGTTTGTTTGCTACAGAGCTTATTTTGCAAATATCCAAAATCCAATGGGAAAATCCCATAGGCTTTTGACGAGGGAACCAGAGTGATACTAACTTCCAGGCTGGCCCACAAATGCACATCATCCCTGCACCACTCTATTTGCCTTGGTCCAGACATTTTAACCAACTAAGTTCGAGTTGGCCGAAGATAAAGTGCAACGAGTTGACAATTCTGTCTGATATCAGGCAACCACTCTATTACCTTACATGTAAAAAAAATACTGAATTCAGAATTTGATTAGTCACTACATTGATCATAAAATCAAGTAAACTGTACAATGTTTCCCTCTGAAATGTTGTGGGGTAAAAGCAGAATCTAAAAGGGAATACTCAAGTAACGAACCATTACCTCATATATGTACTAATGACTGTACGTACTGTATAGTAACTCTGCTCGGTTACTTTTGTCCAATGTCATTATAGTTATCTAGAAAATGAGAAATGCCAGCAGCTCTGCAACTAAATTGTAGGTAACCTTAAGGGCATGTGGCAAGAACATACAAATGCTTAAAGAAATTGTTTCACCTTCTGAAAAATATAAGTTACGCGTGTGGTAAATAAGTGGCTACAGCCAGTAAGGTTAATTTATATTATATTAATTTAAATGGGGTTGTGTTTCCTGTGTTCACGAGAAAACACCGTATGAACGCCCTGCTCTTGTGCCATTCATGATATCATAAGAGGGAATACGAGCTCCTAGTTCTCAAGTTGTGACGTGTTTGCTGGCGTTTTCTGAAATGGAGGAGGCCATGAACGTAAGTTTTTCATGTATGGTAAGATAATGTAATTTTAGTTTAGAGTTTTTATTTGTAATTTTACAATGTGTGCAAGGAAAATGTCGATATTTCCAATGGCCTCATCTTTTTCCTGCCACTATGACTTTATAGTCCCTTACGTTAGCTTCTTAGCTTGCTAGATTGTTAGCCTCAGTGGCTTCTAGACAACTACAGTAACATCCATGTTGTCGCTGTCTAGCAGTGGTGCTCTCACGACAACCACTTTAACGTCAAGCATATGTACAGTGATTCGCATGTGGTTACCACAAGCTCACAATTTACGTTACATGTGAAGGCAGCGTTAGCATAAATACTGGAAACAAGGGAAACAGCTAGCCTGCATCTGTCTAATGGTAACATGCACTACGAGCCATTGCCAGGCAACCAGCGAGGATTCAAGAATGTTCGAACCCCCCGTAAAACAGCTAATTATTATTTTAACACTTAACCTTTTTATACGACTGAATTTTGTTAGCCATGGCCAGAACCAGGCTAGCTGTTTCACAGTTTCCAGTCTTTATGCTAAGCTAAGCTAAACTAAGCTAAGCTAAGCTAACTAGCTGCTGGCTGTAGCTTTATGCTAACCATACAGACATCAGAGTGGTATCAATCTTTTTATCTAACTCTTAGAAAGAAGAATACACATATATCCCCAAACTTCTCCCCTAAATTTGGTTAATATTTCCTCTTGCTCGACACTCACACACTGGTCTCCTTGTAGCGGTCCAGAGCCTCCTGGGCCACCACCTCAGAGAACTTGGGGTCAGTCCAGGGGATGTCGCCTGACACGGTGAAGTTCATGGCTGGACCATCAAAGAGCTGCACAGACACGTTTGTTTCTCCAGGCTTCTTCTCCTCACCTGGCTTCTCCTCAGTGTCCTTGCAGTTCACCTGCAGATCCGGGACAGTTGTAGTTTATTTTTTAGTTACATTACAAAGCCTATTCCTACAGCCCAACAGCACATGCTGTTGTATTACTTAACCCATTTTCTGTAGCAGCTTGATAGAAAGTCATATTACTAACATGAAATAAAAAAGCCCAGTCACCAGAAGAAAATAATGGCATTGTACGTTTCTGCAAACCGTGAGTATGTTACATTCGTTTCATACATATCAATGTTTCTAAAGCGTCTTTATCATCAGGAGGTGCAGGGGGATGGTGGATGGTATGTCACCTAGGTGAGATGCCTGCTAAGCTGCAGGCCACAGGTCGAAACCAACAAATAACAAAACTGTTATTTTTTTAACATAGCATTGCTGTGTTGCTTTTTTGGCTCCACATGTTAGTGTTTTGTAGCGACCTGTCTGTTTTTCTAGCAGGATAGTGCCACGAAAAGCAGTTGTTTTTTGCCAAGACATCGTTGCCTGTCCTGCCAGGATTGTGCCCCCAAAACTGGGTGGTTTAAGCCAAAATATGATCTTTGGTTTGAGTGGTTTGGATATTGTTCCCAAACCTAACCACACTTTAATGACAGTGTTGTTAAAACATAAAGATTAAATGTATCTGCTACATAATAAAGCCTTGTTTCCCCAGTGTTTTGGTTTTTGTCCATTTTTCTGCTTAGTATATAAAGTATGCCCCCTAGTGTTCAACGCCAGGAAATGCATCTCTTTATGGAAGGCTAGAAAAAGTTTTTCGCCATTAAATCTTTGTGAATAGATTGCGTGGAGCGGCACAGAGTGAATTTTGCACTTGAAAAAAATCTATAAACAGAGCTGTATTACATTCATCAGTCTATTAGCTAATTCATGTTTATGCTAACTCACTGTGACACAGTCTGCCACAAAGTTAATTTTTTTTCTTTTTTTCAAGGGGTTTCGCAAACACATTGTAGATCTCAGAGGTTCTCACTGGAATGAATGGACTTCCGGTTGACTTGCATACAATCATAGCTATGTGGAAACAAGGTGTGACGTCCACTGTATCTCTAAGCGCACAACGCCAACATTTTTTTCTGGTGTTTGGGTTTAATAAAAGCAGGCACTGGTAAAAGAACAATGTCACAAATTATAACGACTTATTGATATTGGCTACAAACTGGCCCCCCAGGTCTACGTACCATCTGAACCCGGAAGACGTCGCCCCTGGTGTTGTTCACCAGAGATGACACCCAGCCGAACTCTCTGTTGAGCATGTCCACGATGGAGGATGTGTTGAACATCTGCTCTTCGAACCTTTTCAGGAGGTTGTTGTACTGCTGAGTGAAGCGCTCTGCTATCGCCAGCGCGTCCTCCAGCTCCTTCTTCAGCGGGCCCTCCAGAGGTCTCTTCCCAGAGCAGTCTAATGGAGAAAGCATCATGGAGCTCCAGTAATGTTAGAGAAAGCACTTTAATAATCACGCTGGGATTATTTTCATTAGCAGAAGACGTATCTCATTCATTGCATGATTTTTTTATATTGAAGCAAAGATTTTAGGCTACAATGTTTATATCAACCGGCTGAAGCATCCCTTTGAATGTGAAGTCTCTGTATTTCCCAAACATCTCAGTACCTCACATGCAGATGATACGTTTATGATGTCAGAGGAACAAAACATCATCAACACAAAGGAAGAGATGACATGATTAAATCATCCTCATTTGAAGCTCTTCCTGTTTCCAGCATTATCATAAATCCTAATTGTGTTGCTCTAATAAAAACATCTGTGGTCCATCATTCAGGTCTCAACCTCCGGTTTCCTGCAGGAGGAGGCGGCATGAAAGGACACAGCTGGACCTCACTCCATCCACATAACCTTCTGAACCTTTTATTAGTTGTTTTATGACATTTAAACAGTTTATTTAATTATCAAGGATGTTATTGGTGTTCTATTTTTATTCAACATATGCAGCGTTGCTTATTATTTGTTTATTTTTGCAGCCTCTATGTTACACATCTTACACAGTCTATATCATGATGTCTATGATCATACCTTTCAGAATAAAATACTTCCTGAGGGTTATCTTACCAATATGCTGGATATCTTTGCATTTCTGACACTCGTCGCGGAACTTGAGGCAGCCAGCTGAGTTGCGACGAATCTCTCTGCAGGTCATCCTGCCGTTGCCAAAGGGTTTGGTGATGACCACGTCCTCGTTCACACTGCCGTCTGCAACCAGACACAAACGTGAAAATGTTTTTTGTAAATTCACAACCTCATATTCTTTGTAAGTTTAGATGTATGGTTTGAAACTTACTGAGGAACCATGAAAGATCGACTTGTTTGAACTCAAACTTTCATAATTTCTTATGATTTTATAGCCAGTCACATGACATTATACACATATGTATATATGTTTGAGGAGCCTGTTGCAGATGAGGGGAACTGATAGAGCAACAATATATCACTGTTTTTGATATTCTCTTAAAGCAGTGGTTCCCAACTGGTGGTTTGGGGTCCAAAAGTGGGTCACCAGTCCATTCTGAATAGACCCCTGACTCATGCCTCGCCTTTGAAAAACAGGTCAAGACACTAGTTCAAGCTTGTTTCTTGCAATTAAGAAGCATCTCTAAAATGAAATCTGTTATGTCCTTCTGTGATACAGAGAAGGTCATATGTGATGATTCTGTTTTAGTTTTGGTGTGTTCTCCCTTCTCCCATCCCTTTCTCTTTCTGGTCCTGTCAGGCTTGTGTGTGGAAGGGGGCGTGGCTAGCTCTTCCCACTGCAGCTGACGATGCACACCTGTTTCTACTCAGCTCATCAACCTGCCTACATATATCCGGTCCTCACTTCACCACTCTGCTAGATAATTCTGTCTGTGTTGGCAAGTGTATTCTTTTCCAGTGTTGCTTCTGTAGTGATTTCTTCCTTGTTTTTTTTTTTGTGTGCCCCGTGCGTTTTTGTGCTCACATGTTCTTTGTTGCCCTGTTTTCCATGTGCTCAGCCCTCGAGTCATCTCCTGAGATCTGATTTTACCATATATGACTGATTCTTATACTGGTGTTGATTTAGTTACTTAACTCGTTTTTCATGAAGTGTTTGAGATATTTTGTTAAAAAAGGATCTTTTAGACTCAATAAAAAACCACCTGCAAACCCTACAAAAGCTGAGACTGAGCAACAGTAAACAGGGCATCTGTAGTTTAGATTGAAGCAGAATAGGCACCCTCATTAGGACCTGCGTCTGGGTCGATGTCCATCATGGAGCCCATGGAGCCCATGGAGCTGAAGAAGTTCCTGCCCATGCCCATCATCGGGGAGAACATACTCTGGAAGTTGTGGAATGGATCGTGGAAGAGAGAGCGGATGCTTCTGCTGTGGCGGGTGTACGGCCCCAGGAAGCTGGGAAAGTAGAACGCTGGAGGGTTGTGGTGCACGTGATCGGCCACCTGAGACACACCGACAACACAGAGACACAGCCTGTTCGCTACTTTGTTCCTCAGTGAGTGTGCTGTTGTATCTATATCTGTGTATAATGAGTCAATAATATATTACTCTGAATTTAGAACATGTGATTGCGGTATGTGTTTTTCAGTGTATTCTACAGTGGCTGACTAAGGCAAGCGCGCTGCAAATAGACACACCATAAGCAAATAAAGAAACATCTCCACCAACTTGATGACACATTCGCAGCATTTATCAAAAAGGGCTGCAAGAAACTCTCAACACAAGGTTAACTGTTTCCTGAGGGCACTACGTAGTGATGCACACATTTATTGCTGCCATGGCTTTTGGCTTATGAAGTTGTTAAAGGTGGCTATCATCATCAGTGGTGTTGGTGTTAAAGTGGCTAACTTTAATATTATGATCCTGATTCACATATTATTACAGATCTTTTGTTAACCTAGCGTTAGCCTTTTGCTCATTATTAAATTGTCAGTTCAAATAATCTGATGAAAAACACACCACCAATTATGTAACACTGTAATAGGGGTTGGGCTACATAAAGTACTGGTAGGTTTTGCTAACATGGCTAATAAAACAAAATCACTTTGCCTAATTCACCTATCAGCAAACAATTACGTAACGATAGCTGGTCATCCTTAAATGACCTTATCTCCAATTGGAGGATACTAACACTAGTTCAATAACTTTGCCTGTGGTGCTATAAATTTGTTTTGTATTGGCAGGCTAAAGGCTAACTCCAGGTTAGCACAAGCAGCTACCTCCAGAGATGAAAGTACATACAAGTACACATAACTGCAGCAGCTACGTGACCCACCCTCTAGCTACGTGACCCGCCCACCTTAACCTACACATCAGCCCCCCTTACTCCTTAGCCCTAAAGTGGAAGTCCCAAAGAAATTGCCAAGCTATGACGTATTACGTTAAAAGAGAGGTGGTTAAGGGTAGGGTAAGGGTAGAGCCCTGTCTATTCTATGGCTCTAGGTAATGGGAAGGCTACATCCCGTAGCTAATGCTAAGTTAGCAATTAGCTAGCTATGAAGTATTACGTTAAAACAGAGGTGGTTAAGGTTATGATAAGGTTAAGGGTAAGAGTTACATCTTGTTACATATAAAGGGAACCACGTCTCCATGTATCATGAATTATAATGTGGATTATTGTGACATCTAGTCTCATACAGTGTAGTATTGTAGCACACTTCAGATAGCTGTCGCATTGGTGGGTTCGTTTTGTACTAGTGGTGGGCGCGGTTAATAGGGGCGTGTTGTGTACGCTACAGTTGGAATGTGTCTGCATCTGTACATGTCTCAAAAATAAAGTCAACACGAGATGCCAAAAAGCTGCAGTTCCTCTAATGGCCACTGGAGGCTGACTCCAGAAGCCAGTCAATCACCATAGATAGATCCCATGTTAAGATGCCCAACTTTACAGCACAACATGTTTACAGTTTTGGGCTCTGTGGCTAATTTACCCCTTCATAACAACTGTGCGAGGCGTGAATTTTTAAATAACTCACCCATTCACATTCTATTAAAGCTTAAAGTTACGCATTTGTTAGGGCAAAGCCTTTGAGTGACAGGCTGCGGTAGCTACAGCAGCTACATCCATTTCTTTGTACAATTTATGGGTTAACAGCAGTTGTATAATATCTGAATGGGGATCACAATGTTAGGCCAAAAAGACATATATTTTAGGTGACTGATAGCCAACTTCAGTAATTAATAAGCCAAAAACTATGGCAACAACAAGCCTGTCCCAGCTGTGTGCATCACTTTTTGGTGTCCCCTGGAAACAGTGTCCACTGTGTTGTTAACCTCTTGGACATCATCAGCAGGTACAGTACTACCTCCATACACTATATAGGCCTATGTATATATGAAGATATGTATCTCTGTGTCCAGTGTTTCCATCTGTGGTACCTTCATGCTGTCTGAAAATATGGTGTCCACACCGTCGGCCATCTCTGTGTATTTTTCCTCCAGGTTCTTGAACTCTTTGTTCTGACGCTGTCCCTCCTGCATCAGGTCGTCTATCTTCTCCCCGTTGATCCAGATGGAGAAGGGAGACGTCCTGTTTAGCATCTCCTCAAGCTGCATGTCAAAGGAGAACTTTTGATTTAAAATCAAATTGTACATAGCATATTTATATTTTGTTAGCCTTGTGTATATAATCTGGTATGAGTACATGTATGTAAATATGTGATAGTCTGACCTGACGTCCCACCATTCCGGATCCACTGCTGCATGTTCGGGAGTAATATTTAACACAGGTGTTCTTCAGACACGGCTTACACTCCTCCCACAGAGCCTTCATGGTCTCGTTGCAAACCTCCTCCTCCTGCTCCAGCTTGGACTCCATCTCCTGAGCAACACGCATCGCTTCCTGTCATGAAACAGAAACAAAGATTTCAAGAGACAAGCTCTTATTTTGGTGGGATCCATTGTGGTCACTGCGAGTTATTATTGTTGCATCATGCTTCTGAGGGATCAGATATCAGTAAGTGTGAGCATCTGTAGGTCAAAGTAAAATGATTATCAACAGGAAATTCTATAAAGTCTATAAAGATACATCTCATTCTGTCATCAGCGCTGATATCGGAGACGAATCATCAGATGTCTCTACCTCTTTCTTCTCCTTGGTTTTCTCCAGGTCGTCCAAAAACTTCTGGTGGTCCTCTGAAGACTTCTGCATCACGCTCTTCATCTCCTTCACTCCGTTAACGGCATTTTCGATCTGTTCATCCAGATACTTTTCTCCCTGGAGTGAGATCGCTGTAAAATAAAGAAACGTATCATATATTTACTGCAGGTGTGGATTTCTGTGACAGGCTCCTGAGAGTCTACACTCTTTGACCAAACTGAGGATTTAAGTAGATAGAAATATATGTGGGATATTTTTGTTCAATGCTTTTTTGTTTCATTTAATATTCTTTATAAGAAAAATCCTTTTATTTCTGTCTGCACCCTGTGATACTGCCACATCTCCTAATATCTATTTTAGACATTTTAACTGAAACATGAAGCAAATAACAAACTTTTTAGAGCACTTAAGGGTAATTTATAGGGTACTTTTTAAATTTCAAATAAGCGTAAGTTATTTTCAGCAGGCTGAGTTGGTTTAAAGGACCAGTTCGCCAAAAAAATCATAATAAATTTTCCTTCTCATGTGATATTTAGTCATCCAAACACTGCAACTTAAGTTTTTAGTTTTGATATTTGTCACTGCGATTTCTGCTGCCACCGTGATGTAATGTAGACAAATGGTATTTCATTTGTGGTGTTTAAAGCATTAACAAAATACGTAGGAGCACATTTGCCAACCTTGAGACCTCAAAAATAGGGAGGATTTGGAAACCTAAGTCTAGTCAGAGACTTTGTTTCCTTCATTCTAGGGACTTTTAAAGATTCAAAATAAAATAATGAGCACACAGCATCTGGATTTTTATGTTAAATACTTTTGATTTGGTTTACATTTTGGTTCATGACCATGGTTCTCCACCAGAGTACTGAGAGGAGAGGGTCCCACAGCCAGCTGTCCTCTCTGGCCCACTCACTCCTGAGTCCTGGTTGCCTAGACGTGGTGGAAAGGGAGGCTTGTGGTCTCTGGAAGACAACTGAGCACCCTGCCACGGTGGAAAAGGGCAAACCAGTTCCCCCGCAACCCTTGAGACACTCCTCAAACCCATTGATGGATTACAGAACGGGCCTACCAGGCTCGGGTCCAGGAGCCTGAAAGTTTGGGTGGGGCTCCTACGCCAGAACTTCTGCTTTAAGTCCCTGTTAACTTTGCATTTTCTTGTTGCATTATTAAAGGGCGTAGTTATTCATGTCAATGCTCCAAAAGTTCTACTGAAAAATGTTAAGAACAGCCTAAACATTCACTTTAAAGATGAACATAAGAAGTCATCTTGAAACATTTTAAGGACTGGATATATACTTCACATAATCAGCTGGCTGCACCATAAACAAAATTGTTCACGTCAGTGCCTCTGTGGCGTGATGACTGTTGTCTCATAATCTACTCTTCTTGGGTGTCCCATTGGACTTATGCACACGTGTCCAAGTACATGTCTCCATTTCCATGCCTCCCATTCATTAGTTGTGCAATGCATTTTCGTAGCACTGCATTGCATTTCAAGAGTTGGGGCATCCGCCTCTCATTTACATGAAGTTGAATCTAGCAACTTAATGCAAACCAGGGGCACCTGGTGCAACTCACTGCTTCTGAATACACCTGATAACCTTTTACACAAACTGTTGTCGATCTAAAATGAAGACCAATTCAACAAATGCAAGGCTTTTTTCTGAGAGCCTGTGGTCATGTACCATAACACAGCTCAGAAGGTATTTACAGACAGCCCAACTTAGGTCGGCCGGGCATCCTGCTCCGCCCCTGGAAGGTCGGAGGTAGGAAACAGTAGATTTTTAAATTGTAGGGCTTATAGTGCCAGAAAGGTTGAGATAGCGAAAAGGAAAAAATGGTGTGAACATTTGTCATAAATCAGGAGAAATACAGGAGAACTGTGACCCTGGGATGACACCAGGAAAGGGCAATGAAAAATGGGAATCTCCTGGGAAAAAGGGGAAGATTGGCAAGGGCGCTTGTGAGTCCCAGTCACTTTATACTGTTTTTTACTAGAAAATAAAACAAAAACAAAAATGACAAATACACACAGTAAAAGTTAGTTTTGGATTTTGGGTGAACTGACCCTTTAAAGTTTTCTAATGCAGTGCAAAGAAACATACCGTTCAGATCGTCTTTTGATGGAGGAACAATGCAGTTGGCTGTAGCCAGAAAAAGAGCTACCATCGCCAGACACTTGGACCCCTTCTTCTTCATCATCATCATCATCATTAACATCCTCTCTGACTCTCACAGGGCCAGCAGGCAATGATGAAAAAAATCTGGGGGATAGAAAAAAAAAAACATCAGACATGAATGTACAGATTCAGTCTTGACTCCTGTCTGTCATGATGTTGTTGTAATGTCCCTGCATCTCCACTGGAGGGTGACATGAGCTGTACAGAACACAGACAGAGACCTACGCAGTAGAAAATAACAATCATTGCTCAGCAGTTTTGCACCCTTACACAGCAAAACATAAAAATAATACCACTGATCGACACTAATAAATAATTCAGATGCACGCCTGCTGAAAGGATCATTGTTCTCCTCTCTTGTTTCATTCACTAAAACCAGCAAGGGCATTATCACCAAACTGACCTCAGATCAGTGTTTCCTGTGACTTTGACAAACTGTGCATTATATAAAGGGAACAGCAGGCCCTTTCTCTGTTTACCCATTTTTTTCTTCTGACGTGTGCTTGGTCAGCTGCCTGCATATTCAACAATGACAGCTCCAACAGAGAGTGTCTGTAGCTCCTGATTTAGTTTTTTTTTTTTCAGTTTTTATTCCCGTAACACACAAGAAAAACACAGAGGGCCAAAGTCATCAGACAGATGGACTGGCCCTCTCTCCTCTCTGTGCAGCTTTCCCCTGGCAGTATTCATATCTCTATGTGACGCCGCTGTGTTGATTATTTCTGCAGCCGGACATAATCCTCCCTTTTCCTGTAAATACACAGCGCAGCAGTCTAAATGCACCGATCTATCTGCCATTGTTGAACAAAGTAATGACATTTTGTGAAGTTAGCTAGCCAGAGTGGGGAATGACCAACACTTAGCATAGGCTACATTGTACATTACACCCCATATGTGATTGTTAAATGTCTCATTCCAAAATCACGCTGCTAGTAATACCCTCTAGAATTTTCCAGATATAGAAACCTGGCTGCAGGGATTTGTTCCCATATAGCCACCAGAGCATTACAGAGGTCGGGCTCTGATGTTAGTCTGGCTCGCAGTCAGCTTTCCATTTCATCCCAAAGGTGTTGAATGGGGTTGAGGTCAGAGCTCTGTGCAGGACAGTCAAGGTCTTCTCAGGAAACCACTTCTTTTCAGACCTCACTCTGTCCACAGGGACACAAGGTGGGCTTAAAGGGTGGTGTTTTTAAAAAGCTAGACCCAATTTTCTGATGTTTTTGTGTCTAAGTGATTAATGGAGTCAACCATTTTTGAAACTGGTCCAGTGTTGAGTGAGACTACAATTGTAGGCAATTGTGCAACAACATCTTACGTCCATTAAAAGTGCTTGTTTTTGCCACTGACAGGCTCAAAAATTACACAAAGAATCCTACAGAGAATTGAAACATTTTGCTTTACCTTTACTTGTTTGTTATTGTGACAAAGTCTTGCTCAAGGAGAAGTCTCACAGGAGGTGACTTGCAGAAAGACAACAGTGGAAACATTAGTGGGAGATGGAGGGAGGAGTGCTGGGAAGAGATTGCTGCGTTGGAGTAAAGTGTAGCTCAGTGTTATCTAAAAGATTTTCAACGTCATGGCTGAATATGTAGCTGATTTTGTCAGTGTGGAAAAGAGATTTCACAGCAAGACTTCTCCTTGAGCGAGACTTGGTTACACATACTGACAACACACATCAGTTAAAGGTTAGGAAAAGGTTTAATTTCTCTGCAGGGTTCTTTCTGTAATGTTTTTGCCACTGACTGAGCCTGTCAGTGGCAAAAACAAACACGTTGGGGTACCTAGCACACAGATCTGGTACTAAAAGGTGGGGCTGTGAACACTGCAGTCTGATTGGTCAATAGAGGACGGTCACTCTGCTCAGGGCTGAGTTGTGGCTGGTTTTGAGGCTCATGTAACCACTGTTCATACTGTGGAGAGTTTTATTAGTAGACTGTAACTATATATATTACTATATCTAATTCATCGGGCTGACTGCTCGTGACTTTTAAGGTGGAATGTTAACTTAATGTTACTAAGTGCATAAGTTGATGACGTGAATTCATCAACACACCTTATATTTCAATGTGACAACTCTGACCATTACTTAGTTTTCTCTCTTGGATGACATACACTTTTAGTAATGCGTGGATCCTCAAGAGTTTATGTATAGTGATTGAGATTTTTGATTAGATGAGACAAAAAGAAAAACATGAGAAAATAGGGTCCGGGTTTAAAAATAACAAGTTTCTCTTTAGCTGACTTTTTTAAGGCAAACCATCTCTAAACACATCACTGACATTGTATAAAGTTAAGTTGATATGGTGAACTTGTTAGCAAACAGCTAACAAGGCATCACCCGTCCTACCCTGCCTTACTCCAATTGGTTTACCCTGACATTCATACCCTAACTAATTTTACTCCTCCTGTTTAAACCAAACCAATTCAACCAATGAAGGCAACGAGTACTAGCCAATCACAGAGAGAGCAGGGTGTGCCATGCCTTCACTATCCTAGGAAAGGCAAATTCGCACCTCAGTAGCCTACACTGTAAAAAGAAATCATTTGTTTTAACCTAAAAAAAGTTAGTGTCTAGGCTGCCTTAAATTTTTAAGTTGACTGAATTTGAGAAGACACATTGAATTGTTACAAAATAGCCTCAACTTGTCTTCACAAATGCAGTCAACTTAAAATTTTAAGGCAGCCTGAACACCAAGTTTTCTGAGTTAAGTAAATAATTTTTTTTTTTTTAATTTACATTGTACACAGTGATTATCTGAGCCTTGAGACTGAACCAAAAAAACTTGTGGCCTGGAAAACAGAAACAATGAGCCGTAAGATGCTAAAACACTCTGTGGAGCTGAGGTGAACTGCAGTCAGGTGAGACTGTCTACACGAGCGACACCTTCCACACCACACAGCCATTTAATCAGTATAAAAACACTGATAATAGCAACTTAAAGTACAAATGGACCGTATAAGTGAAGTTATGGTAGGTCATTATATTCTCCAAGCTAAGAGGGCAATAAAAGCAGTAAAAGGTTGTTTGTTTACTATCTGAACTGTGTTTCTAAAAATACTATAAAAACATGAAATGTCCTGAAACCAAAATATCTTATGTAACTTGTTTTTTTCCGATTCATCTCCCTGCTCCGGGATGTGTGTGCAGTCACCTGCTCGCCCACCATCTCCTGTTCCTATGGAAACAAGTAGAGTACAGCGTGTTGTTTTTGCATCATATTTGGTCTAAAGCTGTCCATTAAACACTAAAAAGGTTTACAACTTTTTACATTAATGTTATACTTGGCCTCTTGACACACAATTTACCCACTTTTTCCCATGTTATCCCACACTATCTGACTATATCACGCATACAGTAGATTCAGTATCATCTTATTCAAACTTTCATTGAGGCTCTAAAATGTTTGTACATAGAGAGTCTGTGTTTTTAGGCTGCACCATCAAATACTGAACAATGGATTTTCTTACCTCTCAGATAAATCTAGTTGTATCTGTTATGAGTATTACACTGAGGATATATTCAGTGTACTGTGGTATAACCTTTTCGAATTTCTGAGCTTTAAATCTGCAGTGAAAAACAGAAAAAAAAAAAGAACTGGACGCCCACCTGGCAGCTAAAAAAAAAACGTCCCACTTTCTCCTCTCTATATGAGCTCATGAGTTTAACACATACAGTGCGGCAAACTGCAGCCACTAACACAATGAGGTCATTATCCATGTGACAATAAGCCTCTCGCTTTAATTACAGCACACCGCTTACTGGAAGGTTTGTAAACAGGGGCTGACTCTGACCACTGAGACCTTTTTTTTAATGAGAAAATATAAAAACATAATGAGTAAGGCTTGACGTACAGAGAGAGAGAGGAAAGAATGAGCAATGCTTTTAAAAAAACAGAGCCCGAGAGAGTAAGGTTTACAGAGAGAAAGTTAAATAAATAAAAAAGGAAAAGGAGGAGAGAAAGGGGAAATAATTTACACGGCAGAGGTCGAGCTACGTTATTTGCTGAGTAGCAGCTGCAGGGATCCTGGTTACACAACTGAAAGAATGCAAAGCGACCAACCGTGCAGATGTTGCCTGTGAGGCCTTCTAGAGAGTTCAGCTACAGCTCCATGAAGTGAAATACACATTCATTTATATTGTTATATGGTAAATCATGGCCTTGTCTCCTATTGTTATACAGTATACATTTCTTAGCATTGTATTGGTACTGTATTGTGTGTGTATATCATACACACCGCACATATATATCCTCCTGAGACCCTGTGTCCTCATATAAGGACTTTACATTTTGGGTTTACTTGACCTTATACTTCATCCTACTTAACTTAGACCAGTTGTCCTCGTTCGTGAACACTTTTTTGACTCATCTAGCAGCCCTGGTGGAGCACTTAGAGGACAATAAAACTTGAATATCTAAAGAAGTAAAAGTCATAACAAGGTTTTCGTCTGTAAACATGCAGAAGTATAATTCGCACAATACACTAATCTATGTGAAAACAAGATGGCAGCCATCTCTGCCAAGTCAGTCTGCAGCCGATCCCGACACAAAAGTGGACAAGGTTCAAAACCTTTATGGTTGAAACTTGTTTATGTATGATTAATAAGCTTTGTAGTTTGATAAAGAACACAAATGTGACTAATTAAAGCAACAGTAACAAGCTGACACTGAGAAGTACTCGTTTGAGGACATTGGGACTTAATTATCATTGACAATGTTTAGTGTTTTATACGTTTTGGGTCCTACTGATCCCAAATAGCTAGGAGAAACTGAAAATGCATACCAAACAAAAGTTCGGGTCTCAGAAGGATATAACACTATGTACTTTCATATGAAGCTGAAATGGTTCGTTGATTACTTGCTAAAAATTGCAAAGATTTTGATAATCGGTTTATCCTTTTTAAGCCAAACTGCAAAAATGTCACCGGCTCCGGCTTCTGTTCCAGTTCCAGATATGAACGCTTGCCTGTTTTCTTGATAGTTTAACAATAATAAATGTAGTATCTTTGGGTCTGGGACTGTTGGTCGAACAAAACAAGCAATTTGAAGACACAACTCTGACCTCAGGAAACTTTACTCTAATAATTTACATTTTACAGACCAAACGATTAATCGGTTAATTGTGAAAATAATTGGCAGATTGATAACTGTTAGTTAACCACACATTAACATATTATTAAGAGTGTTATATTTCTTATTCATGCTTATCAGTTCATGCATAGTGTACTTGCATGACTGGATTTCTTGGCACAAATATTTGCAAACTAACTGATGTAGTCAGGTGTACTTCAATGTATGTATTGTTCTGTATATCGCCTTTTAATTGTAATTTCTCTTATTTTTTAAATTTGATTGAACGGTTATTTATGTTTTCTTACCTCTTGGCTCATGTCTGTGCTGCTGTAACATATAATTTTCCCTCCTGGTTGAGGTGAGCTGACATGTCTAAAACATCTGGTGCGGTAACATTACACATCAGCTGATAACTGCACATCACTGCTCCTGCTGATGCCTGTTATTATCACTATTCGGTAATTCCCCTCCTTGTGTCTCATTCTCTCTTTCAGAAGCTCAAACCTGCACAAACGACTTTCCCAATGCCCAAAAAACAGGGACCAACTAATCTGGATCATCTCGGCTCCATTTACAACAAATGGGACACTGTCACACACGGCCCTATTCTGGCCTCATTTCTGGTGTTTGGGGATTTCTGCACCCAGAGGATTCACCTGTCATGTGGCTATGGAGAAATTAGGGTCATCTCAAAGAAGAATATGTACAAAATTTTAAGAACTGTCAATGCTGTGAATAGCTATTTGTCAAAAATATGTAAATTTTGAACATTATAATATTTGAAATGCCAGAATTTTCTTTTAAAATCCTCTGTACCTGTGCTCAACTCTGCCAACAGCTCCTGGTCAAATAGCATGTCATAGCCTTTTTCTGTTTTACAGATAGTAGCCTGCTGTTACTGGGTGTGTCCAGTTTAAACCACATGATGTCATCTACCCTAATCCAGTTGTTTTGATCCAAAGATGGAGGTCACACCCATGAGTAAGCAATACAAACAACAGTCACCTTGTCAGCCACATAGTCTGCATAAAGAAAAACAACTGAAGGGACCAGATTTTAGAGACAAAATCAAGACACATTAAACAGCTGCATTAAAGTTAGATATGATGTCATTTTATAAGCAAAACCGGGAAAATGCAGTGCACCCTATTCTGTTCTAACTGATCATAATAACCCTAAAATTACAGCTTGCACATGAAGAGCCCGTTTTCCTCTGAGCATCACCGAGCTGCAGACTCTGCAAGAGAAAAAAACAAAACACAAAGGTCCCTGTGACTCACCTCTGTTTGTTTCTTGGGACTCCAGACCGTCTGAAGCTGCTCCAGTCTCTCTGCTGCTCGGTTTTATACCAGCGGATAACGGGGACGGTGCAGACATGTGATTCATTCTCCCCGCCGCTACCGTCAGGCTGCAGCAAAACAAAACTCAGCTTCCTGTTTTACCCTTCAAAATAAGTTGCTTGATATGAGGACGAAATATTCAGTTCCATAGAATACCAGCCTGTAAAAAAGCCTATTCTATTACAAGTAAAAGTCCTGCACTGAAATGTTATTTATGCCTTCATAAAAGTATTTAAGTGGAAAATTGGACTTGAATGGCGCCTGTGACTGATATCTCATGCTGCTAAATTATTTCTTCTTATATATTAATGTAAAGTCATTTGCTTCCATTTGAGTTGTAGTGATAAACTATTCTGTATTAAAAAGCAACTAATGATTATTTTCATCATGGATTCATCTGCTGATAATTTGCTACATGAAATGATTGATTGTTTGGTTTATAAAAATTCAGAAAATAACCTAATAAATGCCCAAAGTGACACCTTCACAAGTCTTTTTTTCCTCCAACAAATAATACAAACCTCAAAAGTAAAAAAAAAAACATAATTAGCAAATCCTCACATTTCAGATGCTAAAACTGTAAAATGATTGCCATTTTTACATGAAAAGTTGCTAAAGGATTATAAAAATAACTGCGTATTATAAATAAAATAAATTAAATGAATAAATGAAAAAGATTTCCCATAACACAAATATTAATTAAGGCTACAATAATAAAACACACCCCCATCTAAGTGATACGACTGAAATAACTGTTGAACTGCAAAAAAAGTTGCCAGTATTTATTATTCAATTGATCACATCATTGAAAAAGGGTATTTTAGTGATACCAAGAAATTCTGGATTAATGCATGGCATAAAAAAATCCTCGGTTGCTTTTGTTATTTGCCCTTATTTTACAATTTATGGTCAGTGACTGATAAAATAGTTTTAAAATGGTGTTCTAAAATGGCGCTCGGTCTGAGAGGCCTCTCAACGTCAAGTGCCGCTAGTGTGGGGAAAACACCATTGCACATGCGCGTGGTTTACAGCCGTTGGTGCGTCTTTAAAGAAGATACCACTCAATTATATGGATTATTTTCTACAGCAATACATCTTATAAATCTGTCTTTCGAAGAAAAACCGTGGTTTAAACCCCCCAGTGTCCTCCAGCGACGGAATATTGTTACAAACCAGACCGCTGGTAAAAATAATCGGATTTCAAAATGGCTAACGTTAATTGCTAACGTTAACGTTAGCTTGCCAGAGAAGATGCGGTGTCTGCGACGCCTGTGTGAATTGTTCAGACGTAGGCCTACATGGTAAAGAACAGACTCTCAGGATGTAAAACATGTTTCTGAGAGGATTACTGAAAATGGAAGCAGAAGGACGCCATGATTAAAATGGACAAACATACATGAACTGACAGTGTACAGTGTCGAGCTGTTTGAAAGCTTACAGAGGAGTACAGGTAAGTGATGAGTCAGATTATCACCTGAATTTAACTGTGTGAGAAATGTGAAATAACGTAATATGTGAAATAGTGACACTTTCTGTTTTCACAGCTGTTCAAAGTAACATGTTACCCACCTTTTTTTTCCACGTGAAAACACCACTGCACAAACTATTCTTGTCTTTGGATAGCCTACGTTTTCTGCCTGACTTTCACTGAGGCTGCATATCTTATATTTATAATTTTTGACTGCCATCCTTAATATAACACCAGTAATTTCCCAATGACTAATCGTTTTTTATGTGTACCACTCCTGAAGAACTTCTTATTTTACTCGGTGGGCTTTTATTTTGGCGTCTTCCTGTCATCACGGTGTGTGGCTGTATCTGACTTGACGCTCCTGAGCCTGAGGAATTTCCAGAAGTTTTGTAATTTATTGGCAGCAGCACTCCGAGCTGCAGAGCAGGGAGACAAACATTTGATTCACCCTCACTATGACTCAACATTTACTAATACCTTCACTTTCATGCTTCTTTATCTGCTTAATACCAAATCAGATCTTAGGTTTATGGACTGCTTAACACACAAATATGTAATATGGGCTTATAAAACAAGTTACTGGAAGAATTCATTAAATGTATCACAACATAGTTCCTATATTGACACCATCTATCTGGCAAAGCCTTAAGAATAGCAATAATAGTAATATTTAATTTACCTTTATGCCAGACTGTGCATGTGCATACATTTTAAAATATAGTGAAAATGATATTCAGACTGAATTCTTTACAAAATCCTAGGCCAAAAATAATGAAAAACCTGAAAAACTATACTATAATTTCAACCATTTAAAGCTCTGGTAGGCATATTTTTTTGTTTTGATTTGCTTTGTGTGTTTCATTTGTCAAAAATCCCATAATAACCTTGCAGGATGTTGTTATTGAGGTGGTCGGAGGACAAAGGACTTATGCACCCCTTCTTAGCTCTGTTTTCAGGCTTCAGAAAAAATAGGCCATGATGGGAGATTGTGTCCTATCACAGGTTATTTTAGGGAGAGGGTGTTCCTATTGGCTGTTCTCCAAATACAGATGCAAAAGCAGGTCCCTTTAGACAGTGAAAGCCTTATTCAATGGTGGGAAAAGGTGATTTTCTGGCACTGGCAACTACTGGGTACACTGCAAAGCAACCCCATTTTTGCATTTTTGAGGTGAGAGAAAATGTTGTAGTTAGTTAGTTCATTCTTCTGCTAACTGGAGCCAAAGGTTCACAGCTGCAGCTAATTCAAGTTTATGTAGCTAGCTAGTGCATTGAATCACAGAATGTCCTCTATAAGGGCTGTACTGACACCTTCAGTGAGCATGTGTAGCAACTCAAAGCCAGAGCAAACCTCAGCGCTGGGGGTCTGATCCCGGACTGCCCCAACTCCCCACCGGATCAGCAAACTTTCTGTTGCTGCCGTTACACAGGTTAGACCTGGCCCTGCTGCAGGCCATCGGCCTGCTGTGACTCCTTGGCACTGGGGTTTGTGCTGTTTGAATTACAGTCTCTACAGCTGTGAAAGGGCCATCACTGGAACTGCAGTCCGTAGCAGCTTGGGGTGAGGCAGAGGCACCCTGTGGTGGGCTAGCTAGCTGATTCTTGTCTCATTTGTGGTCAGCTAAAGTGAAAAAGTGCGTGGCAAGGAGGGGCTGAGAGAATGTACTACATACAGCTCTATAATGAAATAAGATTTTGCCCATTTTAAATGGTTATAAGAAAGGAAAATCAATAATCGGCGGTTGCTGTTGATATTATGACAGGGTGCCACAATAATCAATGTACGGGAAGCACTGATAACTGTTCCTGAATGAGGTGTGTGCACATGCCTGTGCTCATCTGGATGAAGGGGCTGAAGATGGAGAGAGCTACAGGAGAAAGGTGTGTATTGATATTCTGCCAACCAGAGCTCTGTTCCCTTCATCCTTTCTTGTGTCTGGACACACAGTCAGACATTCAGGATTTTTTAAAATTAACATTTTAACATGTTAACATTTTCATTTCAGCATTTGTATTTGAGAGGTTTTAGAGACTCCAGAGACCTTTTTTCACAGAACACGTCATACCACTAAAAGCACAGTTGTTATTATAAACGAAGGCTCTTAGTGTCCCAGTAAACCGGCGTCAATTAGTCATGCACACCACCAGAACCCTGGAACTGGGACGCCTAAATCTTTATCTTTAGCAAGCTTTATTGTTATTAATTATACCTGTGCTTTTCCTACTTTTACAAGTCAAAATCACTGCAAAAAACATTTGTTTCTGTAGTAAAACTGCACACCAGTGTGAACAGAAGTGTGTGGGAGTTACTGCAGAACTGTCTTGGGAGTCATTATCTACTTTTATTGTTCCCCTAAAAAAACCTTCAACAAAGCAAAGCGTCAGTGTTTAGTTAATTAAACCTCATCTCAGATTGTTTTCACTGATAATCTGCGTGCACTAACATGAACTGTAATTTTCCGTAAGTGTGAGGAGGCTGTTGGGAATTCATAATGGCAAACGGAGGTGCACAAAGAGGTCAAAACATAGACATGCACACAAAAACACACAACAGATGAGGAGTGTGTCATCTGAGGGATGGATATTCCAGTAAATCACACACGTTTATACACTCATACGCATTCCTTAGGTCTGTGTCAACACATGTTTGGACAAACGCTCTGGTATGTGCATTATATTATATGGTGGTACTTTAATGACTTAGACTTTTAAACTCACATTTTTAATAGTGTCAGGCTTTTGCGAGATTAAAAAAAAAGATAACAGACAGCAAGTTTTGGCTGCTTTGTGCAGATTAAATTTTTTTGTTAAAGTCTACTGTTTTGAACCACCAAGGAGAACTTTATTCTTAGCCTCATAGCTTGGAGGGTAGACAAACAGTAAAATTATAATGTCATATACAAACAAATCATACTTGATTTCTAAAGTAATGACCAAATATTACAGGTGGAGTTATTATAAGCTTCAGTAATTCCAATCACAACAGCTCCTTTTATAAGCGTCAGACAGTTTAATGTGCATAGAGTTCTTCCTGAGACAAAAATATACACCAGATTACATGTAATATTCATTTACATGCAGCACCCTGCACTTAGAGCACATACAGCATCCCAAATATGCCCTCCAGGGAAGATTAAAGTGGAATTGATCATCCACATTTTCAAAAATCAAATAAAGGAGCTCAGTCTGTGAATCTGGCTGAAGCCTTGTTCTTTGCTGCCTGCAGCTGAAACATGTCCACACAGACTTAATCAATTACTAACTTCTGAGTCAGCTAGAGTGTTTCTTTTTTTGTTTTCTTTTTTAGTGAGGGATGTGGCTCTTGTACCTAAGTGCAAAAGCCAAATGTGACACTAGGTGGCAGGAGCTCCATGCTTTTGCAGTGAATTCTCCTCCATATCCTAACACTGCATATATTACATATTTTACTGGTTGTTTTCAACTACATGTTCAGTATTTATTTTCCTACCCTGCACTTTTATTTGCTTTTAATTCTCTGGAAAGAATTCAGTCCAAATATAACTATGTGTAAATATTCTACTAATGTCGTTT